GCAAGCTCTGCACTTCAGTGGTGGTGAAACTACAAATCCCATTATGCATCCGAGAGTCATGCCTGTGGCTTTCAGAGTCTTGCAATGCCTCATGGAACTTCCAAAACAGCTGGAGGATCTAGGTTGCCCATACCTAGCTTAGACATTGATCAGTGCTGATTCACTGATCATATACCTTCTTGCTATAGTACTAAATGACCAGTCTGTCTGCAGTTTGTTGTGCCCTCAAGTGCAGCCTCTTTTTATTTGTCTTTGCTTACTGCTGCTTCTGACAAGTATTGTTCGCATCAGTCAGTCCTATGCAACAGCGCTAATATAAAGTTCACCTGTTGCTAGGTAGTGCATTTATATAGGGTATATAGCACTGGTTCGGGGGGGATAGGAGACTGACAACTACCTTAAGTGGCGCTCCATCATGACTTGGGAGCCCCCAAACTTATATGCAAATTTTACCTTTTCAGGGAGTAACAATAGGTCGGATCATTATCACATGTGGTGGGGAGAGAGTCCTTAGCCCTGCTTATTCTCCAACCAGAGAGACTTGAAGCTTACATGCGTCTTATACTCTTTGCTTCAGCGGGTAAATAGTTGAACAATGGTAAAGTTTACATAGGCAGTAGAGGAAGGTAGATGAGGATAAATACGATGAACCTGTTGCGTTGCGCGGCCTGGACAAAGCATAAGTTCACAGACGGATTCATTGATGACAAGTTGTTTTTTTTTTAATCTAAAGCTGGTCATACACCTATAGATTATCTGCAGATTTTCTATGGTCAGATGGAAAAAGGGCAACAGATTCCTCCATCTACGCTAAACTGTGTGGATGGAGGAACCTCCCACTGGGCCAAGTTTCAATATCTTGCTAGTCGGCCCCGCTGACTGTCAAAATACCTGAACAATGCCGGCATCCAATCAGATTGTTCAGGTATTTTGAGAGGCAGCAGTTTTCAGTTTAGCGTAGATGGAGTAATCTGTTGCACTTTTTCCATCTGACCATAGAAAATCTGCAGATCATCTATAGGTGTGTGGCCAGCTTTACTGTGGTCTGTCTGTTCCCTCTACAGAGGGGCCCTGATTGTCATAGGTGGAAGGAAGAGTCCTCATCTACGTTGACCAACAGGTTTCCTTGCAGCTCTCCAATATATCCCTAATAGCTTACTTCTTGCTCTCGCCATCACAGACTGCACAGGAAGTTCACTCTATGGCCAAATGTTTGTTGACACCTCTTGAAATCATTGAATCCAGGTGTTGCCAGTGAAGAGCAAGGTTAATTCTATAACATGCAAAGACAATTTAGGCAATTGTGTGCTCTCAACCTCGTGGCAAAGGTTTACAGCGCTCCAGTATATCCCTAATAGTTTACCTCTTGCTCTCATCATCACAGAACGCACAGGCAGTTCACTATATGGCCAAATGTATGTGGACACCCCTCCAAATGATTGAGTCCAGGTGTTTCCAATGAAGGACTGCATGCAAAGACATTTTAGGCAATTGTGCGCTCTCAGCTTTGTGGCCTGACCTCAACCATATTGAACACCTCTCTAGAATGTGTTGGAACACGGATTGCGAACAAGGTCTTCTCATGCAACAGTACTTGACCTCGCAAATGCTCTTTTGGCTGAATGGGCACAAATGACTACAGATACACTCTTGTGGGGTGCATTCCAAAAAGAGTGGAGGATGTTAAAGCTGCTACAGTGGAGTAAGCCTTTTAATGCCCATGGTTTTGGAACAAGATGCTCGGGAAGCTAATATAGGTGTCATGGTCAGGTATCCAGAAATGTTTGACATACAATGTATGTTCTCTCTCTAGATTATTGGTAGGGATGAACCGATACCGTTTTTTCGGTTAGGAGTACCAATAATTTGTTTTCGGTACTCGCCAATACCGGTACTGGAAGTCCCATTAAGGAAGCCAGGCGGCGTGTAAAGACTCACCACTCGGCTTCCCAATTAGCAGGGAAGCCGTCTCCATGCTTCTCGTCACTGGGTGACGAGAAAGCATAGTGCCGGCTTTCTGGCCAATCAGGAAGCCGGGCGCCGTGTAATGATGTGGATCCAGGCTTCCTGATTGGCCAGGAAGCCGGCTTCATGCTCCCTCGTCACTAGGTGAAGAGGAAGCATGAAGCCGGTTTCCCCGCCAATCAGAAAGCCGGGCGTCGCGTCAATACACGGCGCCTGGCTTCCTGACCAATCAGGAAGCAGAGCAGCGAGTCACTGGTGAGCCGGCTTCACGGCCAATCAGGAAGCCGGGCAGCGTGTAATGACTCGCTTCCCGACTTCCTGATAGCGGAAGTATCGGGCTAGGCATTGGCGCATTTGGGTGAGTATGAATACTCGCCATCGGCAGATACTAGTATTTGTATTGGTGCATCCTTAATTATTGGTATTCTGCTTTTACTTTTACATTTCGTTTTTGATTATTACTGTTTTTGCATTACCAGTGAAGATCCCAACATGTTTGTTTCATGCCCCAGAAATGTGGTATACAGTGTGACCCAGAGCCGTGTGCTGCACCAGCATTTTCCTAATTTCTCAGAGCCGCTGCTGACGTTAACGCGGCACAATAGCCGGGGAAGAGGTGAAAAGTGCAGCCGAAAACTGAAGGGACTGAGGATCATGAGATAGAGGCATTACTGAAGCCCTTACAAGTTGTTATTTAGCCCAGACATTCTGTTAAGCTAGAGCACTGGCAGCACTTGAATAGCGAGAGTGCAGAACAGATTGCATAATGTAGTCATTGAATGCCCAGGGCAGGCTGGGAGAAAAGCTGTTTGGGGAACTGGGGGGAAAAAAATAAAACGGCTTAGCTGTTTAATTAGCCAGCGCATCACAAAGCCTCGCTCAGCCCTCTGCCAATAGCACCTCTCAAGAATTAAAAGCTGCATGAGATGCTGACAGATCCGTATTGAATGTACAGACTGGGATGTGTTTGTTGGGTCAGCCATGAAATCTGGTGACTTGGGACATGCAGACATATGCCGTGACCTTTGGCAGTATCCATCCTTGTATTGTTGTGTGGTGTTGATGACATGCTTACATATACAGGATTGTAGGATGAGTGCATGTCAAGTTTCCAAGCACATCAATTTGTTTTGGGTGTGCTACTTCAACATAAATGTCATTGTCTACTTATTATATACTTTAAAATAAGCACGTCATTAGAAAAATACATAGGCTGTCTGTCACTGCTGAATATTTATTTATTATAAGTATTTACATAGCACCGACAATTTACGCAGCGCTGCACATTCGCATCAGTCCCCGCCCTCAAGGAGCTTACAATCTAAGTTCCCTATCTCTCATGCATACGAGTGCCAATTTAGAAAGGAGCCAATCAACCTTCCAGCATGTCTTTGGAGTGTGAGAGGAAACCGGAGTACCCGGAGGAAACCCACGCAAGCCCGGTGTGAATTATGCAAACTCCTTGTAGGTAGTGACGTGGCCTAGATTCGAACCAGGGACCCCCAGTGCTGAAGCGCTAACCACTACGCCATTTTCTTCCGATTGCTATCAAACATATCCTCTGTCCGAGTTACTGACCCAAAACATATGTGCAGCAAGTCTAGGCCGGCACCATCTGCTGATTCAATGATGTATTGCAGTGCAGGGATGCTATTCTGTTCTTTGTGGTGGGACGGTGATTGGGCAGAAGCTCCTCAATGGTCCCTCCATATCATGTTCTCTTTAAGATTCATGACTGCCATTTAAGTTTCAACTAAAGCTTGCCTTCTGATTTCTAATAAGCTGCCTTTCAAGGTCTCTCCCCCTCCTCTGCAGCAGTATAAGGTCCCGTAAATCATCAATGTCTATACACAGTGTATAGTTGTGAGGACTTTGAGGAAGATTTCAATGCTGCAGTGTGGGGGAGACGAGCTGGAGGGAGCGCCGTGATAGCCGACTGTCTCAGAGCTTCGGGTGAGTATAACTTTATTTTAGCACCTAGACACAAATGAGCACTTAACCCTTGCAGAGCGGGGGCAGCCCCTCTTCAAGGCCTCGTTCACACTGCAGTATAATACGCTGCGTGCAGCATATGCAAATAAATGGCTCCATACACATAGCTGCGTATGGAGCCATATTTTTGGGCTGCACAAAAACAAAATGGCACCAAGATGCGTCTGGGCTCAGAATTTCTGCGTATGTTACGCGCGTACAGTACATCAAAGTTTCTATGAGAAATTATGCATTCTGAGATTGCATACAATTCACGAATATACGCACATACACATGCGCATACAGTAATACCTTGGTTTAAGAGCATAATTCGTTCCGGAAGCATGCTTGTAATCCAAAGCGCTTGTATATCAAAGCGAACTTCCCCATAGGAAATAATGGAAATTCAGATTATTCGTTCCACAACCCAAAATATTCATATAACAATGATTACAATACCGTACTGTAATATAATACAGTATAAAATATAAAGAAAAATAAACCAATTACTGGTACCTTCGTGGCTGGTGTGAGGGAGACAAGAGAGAGTAGGATTATTGTGTAGGACGACTTTCACTGTCACTAACGGAATCACTGCTATCTCTTGGCTCAACGGAATCTTTTTCATTTTGTGAAACCTTAACAAGGAATCTATCCAATGTGACATTGTGTTGTCAAACAGTCTCATCGCTCGCACTGCTACAGCCTTATTCGGGTGGTGCTTTTCTACAAAATTTTGCTCTTATTGCAAGACATTGCTTGTATATCAAGGCAACATTTTTCAGAAATGTTTGCTTGTCTTGCAAAACGCTCTCAAACCAAGTTACTTGTAAACCAAGGTATTACTGTATATGCATTTACAAATATGTGTACAATTTTGCTCTTGCGTTGTGTGTGTGAATGAGGCCAAAGGGTTAATTTTAAAAAATCCTGCAGTTCTTTAATAATGTTCTCACCCTTTTCTATCCTTTTTGCGTCTTAGTGCCGCTGATTTCCTCCAGCCTTTTTAGCCACTTACTGTTTTGTTTTGTTTTTTTATAATGTTTGTTCTGTTTTATTTGTAGAGGTTGAGAAGTGGGATGAGAATATTCATGAGAAAACTGGAGAGGAAAACAGCTCTCAACAAAGATATTACTTTGAAAACTTGAAAATATCTGTACCGCAAATCAAACTCAGTGTTTTCACCTCCAATAAACTCCCTTCTGATCTTAAGGTAAGGGCAATGAAGACATTGAACAAGTTACTTTAAAAACCCGTAAACATGCTGCATGGACATCAGACTTGGAAATAAGTTACATTCAGTATACCTTCAGGTGCATTCAGGTTGCTTTGATTTGCTATTAACCTGCTTCTGATTTTGCTTTTGTCCGTCTATGGCCTTATTCACACTGCCAGATTCACACAAGAAAAGGCCGACACGTACAGCTTCGTGCTGCGTGCACGACCGCATCAGGGAAGGACAGGTGCTGCGTGTGATTAGTACGCAGCAGCCTGTTCTTCTCTATGGGAGTACGCCGCCCTACATTCACCCGCCCTGCACGTCCGCGCAGGTGTCCGTACTCGTACGCTGACAGGACGGATCCTGTCTGCGTCAGAGCCAGGACACCCGCACCCATATGGATCTGCACTTGGGGTGAGCATAGGGCGGTGTACGGCCGCGTACTCCCATAGAGAAGGACAGGGGCTGCATACTAATTACACACAGCATCTGTCCTTCCCGGGAGCTGCCCGATACGGCTGTGCACTATCATGTGTACCATGGTATTTTGCAGTAATATATAAATGATAACATTCGCAATTTGTAGAATATGTAGAAAAGGTTTTTAAGCTATTTCAAATGCTTATGAACCCACTTAGAATGGATGTTGGTGCTTGATGTTCAAAAGTTTTAGTTTTCTTGCAGAATAAGCTGGTCCCCTGAGCACTGGCCTTGACCTTCTGTTTTAGGGTGGCTCCTTTCCCTTGCATGGTCTTATGCAGCCACCCTTGTGTGTGCTAGTAAGCTGTGTGTCTCTCTACCAAAACAGCAGGACAAGCCACTACCCTCTTCCCTGCTCCCTGCTACTCCTTTCTCCCTTTTCTAGGTTAGTAGATGGAGAGCTGCTGCACACTGTGCTGTCAACAGGGCCAGTGCTGCCACTAGGCGCAGCCTTGACCATTCATCTCCCTGCGGTGCCCCCCCGTCTATTTCAAATTGTAATGCAGGTAGCTGGTCTTGCCTAGGGTGCAAAATAGTCTAGCACGGGCCCTGGCTGTCATTTGTGATCTTATACCAGACTGGAAGGTCAGGTAAGCCAAGCTGAAAGAGGTGGAAACATGATGACTGTAAGTGCCTTGGCAAAAACTTAAAGAAATCCTTTGCTGGGCGATGTATATTTGCTTGATCTGGATTTATTATTAAAAAAAGTCTGAGAGTTTGATACTTTAAGTAAGTGAAAGTTTACTGAAATAAAAGGGGAGTTACACTCCAGAGATCTGTTTTGACCGGTTATTCTGACAGGTGCCGGCAGAACCTCCTGTCAGAAGACAATGGGGGGAATTTATCAAAACTGGAGCAAAGAGAATCTGGAGCAGTTTCCCATGGAAACCTATCAGCATCTCTCTTCAGTTTGCTCAGTTAAGATTTGAAAATGAAAGAGAGAAGCTAATTGGCTGCAGTGCAAATCTGTTCCAGATTTTGACTGCTCCAGTTTTTTGATAAATTCCACTGAATGTAAACAGTGGGATTCATCGATCAACATGCTGTTTGTGTTGATGGAGGAACCGGGTCAATTTTTTTTGTTGTGCCCGTGGGTTGAACGAAAAAAATTGATAGGTGTATGGCCAGCCTTGGAAAGAACCTGGGGAAATGTGTAATGGCTTCTTTGTGGGTGAATGCCGTAATATAGCTAAGCCATTGCACTTCATATCTATGGACACCTTCTAAATGATTCAATCACCTCGGGCCTGTTTTTTTTTCCATGGTCAATTTTTTTTTTTTTTCATTTAACTCATGTCCCAAACATTTCTCTGGAAGTACTGATGTTAAGAGTGTCGTTAGGAGGTCTCGTCATGCATCACTTCTCCAAAAGTGAATCTGCACTGACCCAGAATGAGGTTTTCACACACGCCATTAACTTTCACTGTTTCATGCTCCATTAAACTCCAAGTCCCTGTCTTTAGGTGGTAATACTAAGCTCACCCACTATGCTGCTTCCTTTAAAAAAATCAAAATCTAAAGGGGGAGTAGGGTTATTACCTACTTACTTCACTTAAATCATACCTATAGTGGAGTGCAGCATTGTAATCTGCTACTGAGAAGCAATAACAGGCACCTCTATGTAGCTGCACAAAGTGTCCTTGTAGACACCCATGGGTTTGTAACGTCAGGTCTCTTTTTTTAAATTTTGGTCCATAAGTTGAAGTCACCCCCATTTCATATCTTCTGATTGACCATTCAGGAGGTGAGAGGGATGGGTCCAAGTGATGAATTTGACTAAGAAGTCAATATTTGCATAATGTGTTTAAACTATGCTACGTCTTATGAAAGCTATGAAAAAGGTAGGACCAAGTGGCAATGTCAACTGAGCACCTACGAAATACAGGCCTCAAAAAGCAGTCCTATCCACCATCTGAGTACCTGTTAAAAAGCTACTCACATGGTGGATAGGACTGGGTTCTACCTGCCAAAAGGACAGGTTCACTTTAAAATAAAAACTCTTCCCTGCCCCCCTCCCCACAGTCCTCCAACGATTTTAACAGCTAGCCTCCCACCCAAGTACAGTCTACTTACCTCTTTTTGACAGCGGCCTCTCATAGTTTTTACAGCTTCAGTGCAGAAATCTTGTTCAATGCTGCCTTCAAAGTAACTTATTATAAACTTAAATGGGGCCTTGCTTCAATGGCCCCGGTACAGGCCATTCAAGCCTATTGGAAGCTACTGTACAGGTGTGGCCAGCGTTGAAGGTTGCTACAGCTGTCAGAGAGAGGTAAGAAGGCACTTAGGTGGAGGGGGATAGGTTTAGAATGGTTTAGGGGCTTGGGAGTTTTTATTCTACTATGAGAAATTAGAAAAATGTGTTGAGCGCACTACTAATGGTGTAAATTGTAGATGTAAGTGGTGGGTGTGCGAGCTCCTTGAACAGACAGAGGTGTCCCGTATATAATCACAGAAAAAACAAACAGAAGGAGCGCTATAACATGAGGACATGTCCCATGCTGGGACTGACAGATGACTGGTGTTTGTGGGATAAAGTTTTCTCACCTTTTCATTACTTGTTCATTAATTTATCATTGCATTTATTTATCCCACATACACCAGCCATCTGTGAGTCCCAGCATGGGACATGCCCTCAGGTTGTAGCTCTCCTTCTGTTTGTTTTTTCTTTATTCTACAATGAACATGTCCTCTAAAGAACTAAATATACTTTCTGCTGCAGTGTTTTGCTGGACAGCAGTTGTGTACTTGTCTGGTATTGCTATTCCTTAAAAATGATATTGTTTTAACTTTTTCTTAGGCTTTAAAGAGCTCTTTGGGTTTCCCTCTGATTAAATTTGAAGATGCTGTGATTGATCTGGATCCATTTACAAGAGTGCACCCATACGAATCCCGAGACTTTATTGTCAACGATATCCTCAAACATTTCCAAGAGGTTTGTTTACTGATTTGCTTTTAATTGACATTTATTTATTTAGTTATTTTTTTGTTCTCTTTCTTCAAACACTTTATCTGAGCACCTTTATCCTACTATGCATCTGCTACTCTCAGAATACATCCCTGTAATCTCTGAGAACGGTATGTTACTTCATGACACCCCGTTATGCCTCCCTATTATCCGCTAAATATGGTGGGTTGCCTCAATGGCCAAGAGACATCCACAGGAGTGAAAGGAGAAGAGACAGAATGCTCACATCTGAGTTTAAGTAATAGCATGGTCTGGACTTTGGCATCCCAGGGAGCACTGGAAATAATTTGGACATGAACATGTACACCTCACAGTGGCTGATGTACAGTCCCTTGGCCAGTTTACAATGGAGCAACAAGCCAGAGGTATTCTTTAAACATCATATTTCATACTGGGGAGTAGGGATGCACCGATACCAAGTATTGTACCCAGTACAAGTACAGATGCTTTTCCAGCTCCAAGACTAGACAAGAGAAAAATGCAAAAGTTAGAAGGCAGCTGTCATTTGTAAGGAGCACACGGAGCTCCTGGGATTTGTTCATCTCTGTTTTAAAGGAGAACTATGGGGCTTTTCCCCATAGTTCTCCTTAGGGTAACGGGAGGACACAAACTAGCGTCCTCCCCCCCCGTCACCCTAGGCTCAGTATACCGCGAGCTGTAGCTCACAGTATACTGAGACGCCGCAGCTGAAGCGGATCCCGACAATTATGTCTGGATCCGCCCAGCTGCGTGACTGACAGCTGGCTCTGCCTATCTAGAGGCAGAGCCAGCTGTACCTGCCCCCTCCCCTGTCCGTTCCGCCAGTCAGCCCTGGCGGATCAGAGCAGGGAGGGGGGAATCCAGCCCCTCCCCTGTCACGGCAGAGAACCGTGACAGGATCGGGAGGTGAGCGAGCGCCGGTATGTGTTCGCTCACCTCCCGATCTACTGAGCCGACCTGTGACAGTCTCATTGTCACAGGTCGGCTAGAACTATGAGGTGAGTGAAAAGCACTGACCTCATAGTTCTCCTTTTAATGTATGATTTTGTTTTTATAAACATACTGTATATATAAAGTGATGCACTGATACCATTTTTGCAAGTACAAGTACTGATCCTTGCCCAAGTACTTACAAAAGTACGAGTACTAATACATGTTTGTTTTTCATGTGACAGTTTTTCTAAAACAATACAGACTAATGATTTCAGGACAGTGGTGGAGCGCCAGAGCTAGCTCCCAGCTGCAACCACTGCAACCCTGGTAGTTCTCATGAAAATGCCAAGTATCGGCACTGGTATCTGAACTGGTATTGGTGCATCCCTACTGGGGAGTTTTAGGAAGCATCAAAGTTTTACGGTAGGTTAGCATGTCCCAGTAAAAGAGTCTCTCTGAGGCAAAATAAATAATTCTCAACACTGAGCCCCAGATTGCATGCTAAAGCAACCGATAAACATATAAGTATTCACACACAGGATGAAAAGCTACCCACTGCAGGATAATATATTTTCAGAGATGTCAAGTCTTACTTATGGCTCTCAGCATCCCTATGTTTTCCTTAAGTGTTGTACTTGCATGTTAACATATGATGGCGCTGCTGAGTTACATATCTAGCACTAACCCTGCTCTGTATTGTTCCACAGGAGTTGCTCAGTCAAGCAGCAAAAATTCTGGGCTCAGTTGACTTCCTTGGCAATCCAATGGGCCTGCTGAATGATGTGTCTGAAGGAGTATCCGGTCTTATAAAGTATGGAAATGTTGGCGGCTTAATCAGGAATGTCACACACGGAGTTTCCAATTCTGCTGCAAAGGTACATGTCTGAGATTTATGCCTGGCCAGGATCACAAGAGCTTTAGTGTTTCTTTGCCTCTTTATACTACTGAGGTCGGTTGCAAAGCAAAATAGCTGTGTGAGAAGCTTCTGCTTGAAGTCATTCTCAGAAAAGGATTGCCTCAGTTATACCCCCAGATCCTGTCTATTAAGACACTGCAGGTAGCAAGGCTAAAAATATATATGAATGAGGAGTCTGGATGCTTTTTTTTATTGTGCGATTTAAATCATATATCCAGCTTGACTAAAGCATGCTGAACTGCAGTTCCATAGAGCTGTACACTACTCCGGACAGTTACTCGGAGTCGTATCTCATCATTGTTGTATGACTGAGGTGGCATCATTACAGTCATGCATTAAAAGAGGGCAGAGGTATACTATCTGTATACGCTGGGCTAAAATTGTTAAAAGCATTACACAGTAAACTGTATGCCAGATGCCCATAGACGTGAGATGACAATCTCCCAATCCACAGTTATAAGGTCGCTGGTTCAAACAATATCTTTCCAATCAGCCGCACAGAACCGAGGTCCATAAAACCCAACATTATTGTTGTAAATTCCATGCAAAGTTCAAAATAAAAGGTATACACCATAGTCTCTCTCCCACTCCAACGCCATTCACGCGTTTCACCACCTGGGCTTAATCATGGCACAAAATCTTCACCTCTATGATTAAGCCCAGGTGGTGAAATGCGTGCAAGGCGTTGGAGTTAGAGACACTCTGGTGGTGTATACCTCGTATTTTGAACTTTGCATGGAATTTACAACAATAAAGTTGAATTTTATGGACCTCGGTTCCGTGCGGCTGATTGGAGAGATATTGTTTGATAAGTGGGAGCACACTGCAGTCTGCACCCGATGTCTATATTGATCTGCACTCTGGTGGAATTGGAGCGGTGAGTCTTTTGCTTATTTGGATATTGCCTAAGGTCGCTGGTTGTTTCAAGGTCTGAATGGCTAATGGGGTGCATACATAAATATTTTATTAAATCTGTCACTTTAATATTCTGCTAAATCTACATCCACCCTGTGCGAACCCCATTTCAGTGCCTATACTTACCTTCAACTCAAGTTAAAAGCGCCTGCTGCCAACCCGCACCAAAGTCACCAGCTGTTGTCAAAAATATGTAGTACTGTTAAAAAGTACACATTTAGCGTATGCACATGTGACAATGTTGGGGCCTCAGTGATTGGCTGCTCAAGCTCCAAAGTCTGCATTATGGGGAGGAGCGTGACATGTAACATGCTTCTCCATACCTGGATGTGCCAGGAGCTTTACAGACCTTTTGGTAGGGGAGCAACTGCAAAATTAAGTATAGGCACCGGAGCATGAGCAGTGGATTTAGAATTTCTGCACTTTTTAATTTTTTTTGAATTCCATATACAGGTTTTTTTTATTGGTCCTTTTTAATCAGTCCTCTACTTGTTTTGGTAGTTGAATAAAGAGTAAGAGAAGGGTTACATAGTTACATAGTATTTGAGGTCGAATAAAGACACAAGTCCATCAAGTTCAACAAATTGCATGTATGTATGTGATTCTGCATGTGTATGCGTGTGTAAATACCTTTCCTGCAGAAAATGGTGCTGAAGGCCGAATCTTTAATCCTCAGGTAAGAATGAATGACCTAAACAAATGTTTAGGCTTTTGCTCAGATGACCAGTACTAGAGGGAGCGCTTTCTGCAGGAAAAGTGTTTCAGTCCTTCTATAACTTATCTTTCATCCATTTCAGCAGGGCTGTTAAATTAGCGGTATAAGTGCAGCTCCAGCCCCCTTTTCTTTTTTTTTTGTACTTTTGGACAGAGTATGGAAAGGTAACATTTATAATGATGTCTATCAGCTCTCTATGGAGATTTCCCCTCACTTCCTGCCTTGTAAATAGAGTAAAAATATTGTAGTCGGAGGCAGTCAGGCAGATTGTGCTGTTGGAATAAGATTGACAATGGCGAGCTCCATTCTCTCAGTAACAGGGTGCTGCTTGGCCTGCATGGATTGATGCCTTGTAAATTTTTGGGTCTGTACCAGGAAAAGTGTTTCTCTAGCAAAAGCACACTCATGTGGGCTCTTAACTACAATTTAGTCATTAGACATAATATAATGTTATTACTTGTTAAAATTAAACACTTGCGCATGGATGAATGGAGATGATCTCTGACATTCTAATTGAGCGGTTTCATGCCGACTCTCAATCATTCAAAGAATGGCACATGCACATAACTCAAAATTCTGTGGGTTTCCTGGTGATTTTTATCCTGACTGAAATTACGATACCATCTAGCATTGCAGGGCTCCACTGTATTGTCCTCCTGTGGATAGAGTGGCTGCTGATTGGAGGCCTGCCAGCATGTAAGAGGAGATGTGGAGGTTCCTGCTGTAGGTCAGAAATGTTAGCATGATGGGAAACCGTAATGGTTTTGGTCCATTTATTTGAAATTTGTTTTGAATAGTTGATGATGGTTTACAGTAAATAAGTTGTCTGCTTCCTTAATCTTTTTATTTCTTTAAAATAAAGGAACACCCATGGCAGTCAGTTTGCTAAGCATGCTTGTTTTTTTTTTTGTAAGAAGTGCCAGTCCTTCCATCCTAGTAGCAGCCTGCACATATTAATTAAGATGTTTCCATCCATCCTGTTGGAGTGGGGCCCCTTCAAGTTTTAGCACAACATATGTAAAAAGAACCCCCAAAGAACTTCTGCCATGTATCCCCTTCAGGCCCACATCTTCTTCAACTGTAGCCACACATGTATTTTTAGGTTTGAGGGTGGGGGGATATTGTAGTTTCTACTTACTGAAGGTGAACAAAACAATACACTCCCTTTATCAGTTTCTTAGATGTTTCCTCATGAGCTCAGAACTGCATGAACCTGTGTTGTGTGTCACGCCGTTATATAGGAAAATACAAGCCTTAGATCAATATTTTAGCAGAGACATTAGAGCCATTCTGAGTGTTTAAAAATGTACTAGAGTAAAAGAACTGCTAGTGGACATCAAGGGAATGGGATCCGGTAATACTGAAATGCTTTGCTCACATATCCTATTTCTTGGAAGCAGTATCTGTACATTGTTTATGTGGTTTACACATGGCATTACACATCGAATTACATGACCTTCCTAGTCATTTCCTACCACTACTTTTATGTTCTATGATCAGGATGTTTGTATCATTTAGTATATGAGTGAAAGTGACCAGCAATTGTCAGTAAGGCCAACGTTTGGTCAGAGAGCAACCCCAAACCTTATGTATAACAAACATTCAGGATGCTAACTTTGGTTGTATGATGACCAGCTCTGTCTGTCTGATTATGGTAATCAAAACTGCTATTCTATAGTTCCACCTCCCTGCACTACCCAGAAACCCAGCTTCTGACCGCTAACATTGACCAACGTAGACTATTAGCCTATAGATATGTATGGTCATATAAGTCCAAGGCCATTATAGAAAGAAGAGGGCCACACTATTTTTTTTACAGTCCATAAACTTTTTTTATGGTTACAAACTTTGTTCATAACAGCCAGTGCTTTTGGGGGATTCTATAGGACCCCCTTCATAAGGGTTTAAAGTTTTTTTTCAATCTGGGGAGAATCTAGACCAGGGGTGCCCACAATCGTTTGTGTTAAGATCTACTTTTTAAATGATGAGCTCAATGAGATCTACCAAGGAAAAAAAAACCTCCCTTGCTCTCGCCCTCCTGGCTGTCTCTCCTCGCTCTCCTGGCTGTCTCTCCTCGCTCTCCTGGCTGTCTCTCCTTGCTCTTTTTCCTGTCTGTCTCTCCCCGCTCTCTCTCCTGGCCCACCTTGCTGTATTTTGCAACAGGCTGTGTAAACTAATATTCTTCGATGTAATACATATCACTTCAACCACCAGTATCCACCAGAAAGGTATCAGGGAGCAGACTCAAGCTAATAGGTAATCATGTGTGCACAGCTAAATAAATATATTAAAATTGAATAAAGGGGCCGCCATTCACACCCTTCGTGATCTACCAGCATCAGCTTTGAGAGCTACTGGTAGATCACGATCTACCTAATGGGCACCCCTGATCTAGACCATGCTAGGCCAGCAAACCAAGCAGGCTCTGTACTTCTAACACAATTACAGTTGCAGGATCATAACCTCTTGTCCAGTGGTTTTAACTCATTTTTGCACGTCTGTGCAACATTTGTTTTTTGCAACCCCTGCAATTGTAGGCAGCCAACTTAGACAGATTATCAAAGGACTGAGACAGAGACCATAGATGAGACAGAATTTCACTCTAAGCCAGTAGTGGTCAACATACAAGGTACAAGGGACCTCACCTGTGGCCTCTAACATCACCAAAGGACTGCAGGACAGAAAACTGTCAGAGACTGCAGGCATATTACAGGAGATGGTCAGAAACTGTGGTCATGCTACAAGACTGATTAGAGACATGGAGGACACGTTTCTGGATATAGTTAGAGACCGGGGTCATGTTAATGCTAGAGGTCACTGGCATTAAACTGTTTAACAAATTAACGATCTTAATCGTACAGTACAGGACACTGGATTGTAGCCTTAACCATGGGTTTTATGCTGACACCTTCAGGTGACTGGACACTGGCAAAAAAAGTTGTTTGTACAGCCCATATATCCACTCCTGCCTCTCAGCAACCCTTAGTTTCCTGTAATCCACTAGGACCTGTGTCATGTACTGATATCTAAGGTAAGGGTACATCAAATTTCCTCTTCTCTTAATCATGGACTACAGGACATAGGACTGTAGTCTGCACCATGCGGCATCCCAAAGCAATACAACTAAGGAGTGGGCAACACCGCAAACAAAATGCCAAGAGGCCCACAGAACAAGGAAAGAACCTAAACACTCTCAATGTGGCTTGCAGCACCTTGTGGCCGAAACTGGCATCGGAGGAGGCTTGAATATCCACCTGGTAAAACCAACAAACGTGTCAACAGATGACCAGGTGGTGGCCCTGCAAATCTCCACCTGGTGCTGAAAGGCT